TTTCTTACTGAGTAGATACTGTGCCTACTGTGAGTTCACAGGCAAATGTGGTCAAAAGTAGATCAGACATTTTCAGTTTTTCCATTCACATATCAACCCGAATCAACTGGCTTCTTTGTCTATTTATCTGTCATGTAAGCAAAGCAGCTGACTACACTCAGTAGAATGATCAGTCCTTTGTGTTTACTGGATGAACTTTAAAGGCGTTCTTTTCTCATGATGATTTGATTTTAATAACATTTTTCAACCCCATGACTTTGTTATAAGACTGACATGGATTAAAACAAATTTCTGGAGCCCCCTAGCCCCTACTAGGGGGCTCTCTAAATGGTGGGGAGGTTGTTATATCTTTGCCCTGGTGGGTTCCAGAGTGTGGGGGTGCCTACTGGGGTCAGCGGGGGAGCTGGCCCCAGGGAGGGTCCGCTTGCCCCTCCCTTTCTTCCCTCCCCATCCTCAGCTGCCTCCCTATTCCCGCTCTACCACACCCACCCACACACGCAGGGCTTGGGGTGCAGGCATGTCACCAGGGTGCAGGGGAGGCACTCCCCCTCTGTCCCCTTCTGGCCGCCTGTGCCTCAATTTTATTCTGCAACCTAGACATTCACATTACTCACATAACACATACATATAGGGCCTTGGGGGTGGGCACGTTTTACAGCATCCAGAGGATGGTCGGTGTACTCCAACCCACCTCTGGCGCTGGTGCCCTACCCTCAATTTTAAATGCATGTAGACACTAAGGGTTTTCAGGAGGAGCCGTGCTGCTCTCTGAGAGGAAGCTAGTACCATGCTCTCCTGAGTTTTAAATGCACTTTAGAACAGTACACAGCAACACTACATATGAGCAGGCATAGGGAGGTTTGAGGTCTTCACTCACCCCGGTTCTGTTAGCCGTCAGGGCTGGGGGGCTGGGAGGAGGTGCTGGCCGTCAGACTGGGGTCTGGGATGCGGGGCCTCCCTGCTACTGCAGATAAGGAGGTGGTCGGCTTGCCTCCACCCCAGAGAGAAGGGTTACATGTCCTGGGTCTAGGTGCGGCTTGCCCCTCTGAGGGCGGGGGTACCTGGACCTGGGATATAGAGTATGTTTGGGGAGTGCGACTGTCTGTGCAGTGTCTATTTGTGTCTGTCTACACGTTGGGTGAGTGCCGAGTATTTGGTTGTGTATATGGGGGTGGGAATGCACGTCTGTGTCTATATGTCAGGTTGGGTCTTAGACTCGACCTCTCTGGGAACATCTCAGGCCCTCTAAAGTACGGAGGCCTATCTCCCCTCACCACACTCCCTGCCGGTGGCTGATGCCCTCAGACGTTGGTGTGTTGGTGGTCCTTGTCGTCTGGGGCTGGGTGCTCATGTATGTACCGGCTCACTCCTGGTGGCCGATTGGCGGGGCCGGGCGCCTGTGGCCCGGCTGGGCTCCTTCCGGGGGTGGGATGCCCTCAGGCCTCTGGCCTCTGGGCCTGAAGCTTGGTCCTCTCTGCCACAGCTGGCTGCCGGCAGAGCCCGCGGGCACGCCACTGCAACCCCCTCTGGCCTCTGCTCCGTAGCTGCGGGGCGACCTCTGCTTTGGGGCTCTACTCAGCTCTTCCCAGGAGGGTGGCACGGTCCCCCCCCCCCTTTGGTGGTCCTCCTCAGGTCCTTGTACTCTGGGGCCTCTGGATGTCTGGGGCCTGGATCTCCTCCATACCTGCTTCATGCCCTGGGGGACGGGGCTGTGCCCCCCCACACTCCCTAGCAGATCATTACATGGAGAAACCTTTGGAATGCAAGCATGCTGATCCACACAGGTGTGCACACAGGTGTACACACGGGTATTCACAGACGCGGACTACAGCTTTCTTGGCTGCTGCCTCAAAGCACACTGTGCGCTGTCTATCTTGCGTGCTGCACAATATCTTTTATTATTTAATATCTACTGTTATCTACTGCTAGCTAGTTTATTGTGATGGTGCTGTTTTTTATTATGTTGCTCTTTGTTGTTTGCTTTCTCTTCTGTTTTTTTTCTCCATACAGGTGATCCAGGTGTTTTGTTTGTTTGTTTCCAACCCCCCCCCCCCCCCCCCCCCCCTTTCTCACCATCTCTTCTCCCCTTTGGTTTTCTTTCTCTCCCTCTCTTTCTGTCATTCTTTCTCCCTGTCCTATCCCCCAGTCATGTCTGTCCCGTTTGTAGCAACTGAAAATAAAATAAATTCATAATTATAATAAAGGTCAATCAAATGGACCAATATGGCAAGGCCATGATGATCCACTTGGTAAAATAAATCCGCTTGGCATCTTTCTTGGCCTTAAGACAACAATTCTGATGCTAAAGATCCAAACGGGACAAAATAAATAAATAAATGAATAAATAAAATAAAATAAAATAAAACAAATTTCTTTTGCTCAAGTAAAAAAAAACAACAAAAAACAGGTTTTAGATAAAAATCATGTTGAACCTCATTACCTCATCATTAGCGTTCAGTGTCATCAGTGTAATCAATCATAATCATTAATGGTGGAACAAACAACACATAACTTGAATTTATTTATGTGTGGTATCTTTAGGATTAGGATTCAACTTTGTCATTACACATGTATAAATGCAATGTAACGAAATACAGTTTGCATCTAATTAGAAGTGCAATCAGAGAAATTCTACAGTTAAGTTAAGCAAATATACAGATGTACTACGGCCTAATGTATGGATATACTGATATATACAGATAAGAGTAGTATAAATGGGGCAATAGTTATGAACAGATTATGTACAGAGAGACCAAATATACAGTACATATGTACAGATATACAGATGATCGGTATAGCATACAGATGTTCTATATTGCTATACAGATGGGCAGATATAGAGATGTACTATGAACAAATATACAGATTTGCTAAATATATACAGATGTGCTGGTGTGTGGTAACAGATCTACAGAGTCCTATGAGTATATCTACAGCAGTGGAAGCGTAGCGCTCTGAGCAGACTATAACAGGGAACAGTGTACGCACTATACCAGAGACTATATGTCAGTTTCCTAAACTATAGCAGTAAACAAGTAACCATTTATTGTAAAATAATTTTTTATAAAAGAACGAACTGAATGTATAGAAATGTATAGAAACAGAAGGCGTTCATTAAAACTTAAAATTTTGAAAAATTAACTATAGAAAAATAAAAATACATCTCAGGGTTAAGAAATTGTTGTCTTTTCCATTAGTTTCTTCTTTAGTTGCATTTTACTTGATATGACACTTTAAACTGTATAGTAGACTGTATATATTAAGTAAGTAAGTAAGTAAAATTTTATTTATATAGCAACTTTCAAGATATAAAATCACAAAGTGCTTCACAAGACCCAACAATGAAAAAAAAACAAGCAAAATTAATAGAAAGCAGATTTAAAACATTTGTTTTTAACTCATTTTTTAAAGAGATCACAGAGTCTCAAATCGAAAGGAAGAGAGAAAAGTTCCAGAGTCTGGAGGCCACTGAACAGGAGGCTCTGTCTCCGTTTGTTTTCAGCTGAGTATGGGGCCCCACACACACTCATTCACTCACTCAGGTCGTGTGCATGCAAATAAGAAAACGTTTGAATAGGCGCAGGTCACCACACTGTCACCTGAGTTTAGGTTTATGTAAAATCCGCATGTATTTTATTAGTTGATTTTCTTATTCAGCAGATATGATTTGCTTAATACAATAAGCAGCCAGATAGAAAAAAAATGTTGTTTATATATATTTATGCGTGTGTGTTTCAAAAGTCTGAATGCTTTCTGCATTCAGTTGCAACCAGGTGCAACTATGTGTCAGAGGTCAGTACTAGTTCGCTGGGCGTACAGTTAAAATGGTTTGCATATTCTTTAAGATTGTATGTAAAACATTATGTTACAATGCGTACAAAGGACACTGTCATAAATTTATAGACACTGTAGGATAAAAACTTTGGATAATCAAGTGCCCTGTCCTTTGTTAAACAGCAGCCTGTGTTTGGTATCTGCATTAGTACCAGCCACCATCACTGCCACCACCCAGAGGCTGACAGTATTTAACTCCAACCCTCATTTTCAGGAGAAAGGTTCAGTCTACCTTCTACTTTGCTGTGAGAGCTGTCTCAAAGGAAGGATGGGTTTTTTTTCATCACTGTTCAGGTTTATCAGTGTTCTCTTCTATGGAAAGATCACTACTGACTTTAAACCATGCATTGAATTTTTCTACGCAAAAACGATACCACAGGGCATCAGTGGAGACGGCTACCAGGCATTATGTCAGTACTATGAAAGTCAATACCACTTTGCCACCCTGTATGACAGAAACCGTCGTATACCATTGTTCTCTGCGTATATACTCAGACCTGGAGAGGGATCTAGGCCCAAAAATACAAACTGGATGATTGAACCACGGGTAAGCTATGTAAAATATCACTGTGTGATGTTCAAAGACAGTCATGTATTTGAACTGCTCTCTTTTGACTGATACGGTTTATTTTAAAGATGGTTTTCTTAGAGAGGATGAAGAACAATAGTTACAATGTGAAGGAATCGCTCGTTTGGATTTTAACTGTTTGTTGAAGTGTGTATTCTCTGCATTTTACTGCCACATTGTTCTCCATCACCTCAAACAATATGCAACACATTTAAAGCAGTTATTTTCCTCCTGCCTGTCCTGCCTTAGATATTGTCATACTATACCACATATAATGTAATAACTTAAATAACACAAATATAACTGAATAAATAACAGGACAAGATAAAGAAGAAAACATACACAAGATTAGATGATCTTTAATAAAACGATGGTTAGAAAAGTCTGTAGGATTTTATTTGCTCTCTCACATTTCAAAATGACATGACTGTGCAGTATGACAGTAATCTCTCAGTGTTACACATTCCCACAAACTCACACTGAAAGACTATTTGCACACACAGTATGAAGAATGATAAATAATCTTTGTAGCTTCTAAAGACATAAAAAGTCTGTCTTTGTTGTCATTCAGCTGGTATCAGACAAAGTCAACACAGGAATGAAGTACCAAAGAGATCCTGACGTGAATCCTGATGTGAAGAACAGCCAGGCAGTCAATGAAGACTATAGAAACTCTGGTTATAGCAGAGGCCACCTCGCCCCCAGTGGTCACCAACAGACAGAAGAAGACAAAAAGGCTACCTTCACCCTGACAAATATTGTTCCTCAAATGGAAAAGTTCAATAACGGCCCCTGGAAAATTCTGGAAGAAAGCATGGCAAAAAGACTTGAAGTCTGCACATCAAAAATGTATGTTATCACTGGAGTCATGCCTTATGTGAATGATGAACCCACGATCAATAACAGGGTGACTGTTCCTGAGTACTTTTGGACTGCTTACTGCTGCCCAACGTTCACAGCTGGACTGCAGAATTACTTTCCTACTTTTGCTGCAGTGGGAAGAAATGATCCCAACAGTAAAGATGACATTGTGAAAAAAAACACAGAAGATGGCCATGATGTGATGGAGATGTCCTTGGAGGACCTGGAGAAGATCCTGCAAAAAAGGCTAAAGATGCCTAAAATGAGTCTCTTTAAAAATGAATGTAAGGAAGAAAAGTCTTTTTTTGGTTTTGGTTGAACTAAAAAAATCAAATACTTGTCACTAAAATGTGTTAAGATAAAAGTGAAATAAATGAAATGAAATAAAGAATAATAAATAAAACTGTAATGTTTTTATCATTAAGTTAAGACAAAACTATATTTTAGAAACATATAACATATCTGAGTTTCTTCAAAAAAATGAAAACATCGTACAGCCTTGTGCTGCAGGACGGGTTAAATAATACATTTGTAAAAAACTACCTATTTTCCTTTATTTTCATAAAGTATAATATTTTATTATATTTTTCACATTATATAGAGATGAAGTGATTAAATTTTGGTGGTGAAAGAATGCTCTTTGGAGGGTTTACACTCAATAAATATTCAAAAGGATAATTTAATGAGATGATGATGTTTACATCCAGGGGCGATTTTAGCCCATTTTTGGTGCTTCAGCACCCCCAAAGATTTCTTACTTTTTTGACAATATTTGCTGTTTGTGGGACACACTACTAAAATATAAAAAGCATACAGTACGTAACTGAGATGGAACATTTTAACAACAGAAATAGATAATCCCCCCCTCCCAAAATGGTTTGTTCCAGCTCTTCCCTACTCCGGCTCTGGTGCCCAAGATGCAGCGGAGCGGAGGTGGAAGCTCCTGCCTTAAAAGAGGACATATTAGCTGCATTTATTGGCTCAAAATGTGGTCATAAATATTTTGTACTTGTAAATCGGTTTTGTATGTGTAAAAAAACAATTGTGTGTGGACTTAGCCAAAAAAAACCCTGCAAGTTACAAGTACGAATTTTGACCCTATTTTTCTTCCTTTCATCTGATTGGTCAATGTCATATCAATCACAAACGTAACAATCCAATCAGAGAACAGATGGGTTTGGCTGTCGGACAGATGTCAGTTTGGCTTATATTTTATAAGTTATATTTTATTGTGTTGTGGTTTGCAGTGTTTTGTGTTGTTTCACTTTCATTTGTTTAAAAGGAAAAAGCTGAAAATTTAAGTAGTTAAAAGTTGAAATGTGTTTTTGTATTTTAGAATTTATTTATTACATTTTATGTGGAGTGAATACATAAAAAGTATATTTACAGTGTCCCTTAGAGACAAAGCACGTACAAACTCCAAAACACAACGGAAGTGCTCCAGGATGCTAGGGGCTGTGTTGAGCTTTTGTTACCTCGTGGCTACACAAGTCAGGAAGTACCAACAATCGGACTGAGGGTGTGGTAGTAACAGATTAATGAAGTTTTTTTTTTTAATTATTTGAATATATATATGAGTGTTTGTGTATTAATACATGTTTCATCTCTAGGGCCCCCCATAAATATTTATATATAAACATATATAAAGAAAACCACGTTTCTTTTTACATTACCAATTCCTTTTGTGCATAATTTTATATTGTTGTTGATAATTAATTAATTACAGCAACAAAACAACCTGAAGAGCTGGTTCAGAGCTGAAAGACCCGGTTCTTTTTAGTGAGCCGAGCCGAAAGAGCCAGTTCTCTAAAAAGAGCCGTAAATCCCATCACTAATACTTTCCCTATTTCAGTAGTGGCTGGGCCGGAGAGAAGGGAGGAGCGGCTACAGCGGAGGGTTGGAGCAGAGTGCACTGCAAAGTGCCGAACCTCAAAGTTAAAAAAGCTAAAATTGACCATCCTGAGTCTTGTCAGATCCTTCAGGGTTACAGTCACAAGCCCAGAGTTCTTTTTTATCATTTTCAATTCTGTGATTAACCCCTGTGCCACTGATCCTGCTGCAACAGTCACAATGGTGTGGTGTCTCTTTAATGTAACATAAGTCAGAGGTTTATGATGTCATTAGAAGTGTTGGGCAAGTTATTTTGAAAAAGTAATTAATTATAGTTACTAGTTACTTCTTCAAAAAAGTAACTGGGTTACAACATTCTAAAAGTAATTAATTACTTGAAAAATAACTATTACGTTATGTTACTTTACGTTACTCTAAAAAAATGCTTAACTCTGTAGGGTCCAGGGTATAATTGCACTCAAAAAACAGATTCAGGTCCTTCTTTCAAAGAACACATACAAATTTTGTTAGTTGTTCATAAATGTAATTAAAAAATACCAAATTAATTTGATTTTCTTTGTGTAAATTTAAAATTATTCTGAACCAGCTGATTCTGAACACAAAATGAATGAGTTTGTTGGGGCACTGGGGGTAGGGGGAGTACATTTTTGCACTTGCGCATTTGTAAACTCAAAAAAAAAATTCAAGCCCCTCTATAAGCTTAAGCATTTTTTTTTCTCACTCAACGCAAATGTAGCACTCCAGCATTACTGCAATTATTATTCGTGTGGTAAACAAACTCCAAAACACTTGCAAATTCCAAAACACAACGGAAGTGCTCCAGGACGCTAGGGGCAGTGTTGAGCTTTTGTTACCTAGTAACTACACAAGTCAGGAAGGACCAATGACCGGATTTGGGCTGTATCCCAATTCAGGCCGATTACGTCACAGCGGCGCGATGAAGGCTGTCCCAGTTCAAAGGCTGCTCGAAATGCGGCCCTCAAATGCGTCCTTCATTTCCCTGAATTTTAAGGATGTGGCGGTGTAGCCTTCATGGCCCAACATATCCCAGATTTCATAGCGCGGCTGTGCGTGTGGATAATTTTGCCGAAAAAAACGGCGGAAGCGGAGCCGCCGAAGAGTAAACTTTCAGAAGCAAGTACTGAATATTATGTCACTTATTTATGTGCAAATGTTTAATAATGAAGAACATTAAAACATTACTGTTGGCCACATGTCGGCAGAGTTATGTGACGTTAGCGATGTTTGTACTAACTTGGTTTTAAAGCCTTTACTTTTAAATATACGGCGTTCAATAGTTGACTTTAATCTCACAGAGATGTGATGATTTTGTGGATAATTAAAGTCAGTCATATATCCACAAACACAAAAGTCAGTGATGCTGCTCGGTTTGCAGTCCTGAACATCACGGCACAAGCAGCAATGGCGTGTCCAGCGGGGTGGCCTGGGGGGGCACAGGCCACCCCCCCAACCAGACTGGCCACCCCAGGTGCCACCCCAAAGGCAAAACAATAAAATTCAATCAAATATCAAATATCCGATTGTTTTCACGGTGACGCTCAGATATCCGAGTGTAAGTGAATGCAGCATCGGCTTCTGCGCTATGTGCATCACGTTAGCAAAGGTAGGAGAGCCAAGCGCGAAAGACGGCACTGCAGGAAACAATTTTGGGTGAAAGAAAATGAGGACAGAATAAATGTCCCGGTAAGTAATATCAAGTTTGTTGAGTTTAGTAAACTTTGGTGAAATTAGAATACCAAGGAAAAAATAACACTTAAAGAATTATTGCAGCTGTGGAATATTTCAGACAGTATGCTACTGAGGGCAGCTAACATAAGAGTTATGAGTTATAAGATATAATCTAAGTCGTAACATTGCTGTATGGAGCTGCAGATTTGGTTGCAGGTTAACATCGCTGGACTGGCCATCGGGCCCAGTGACTTATTTTTTATTTTTTTTGTAATGGCATGAACAATGAGAGGTGGTGGATTGGCCAGATGCAGGTCGATGTGTAGAAATAACTCCGTTGTTTGGTGGTGGCTGTGACGGGGCTTCCACAGAGGCAACAGGTGGATGAGGGAAGGGGAGGCAGGAGGAGAGCCCCGAGGCAGCCGCCAGTCCGAGTGTCAGGTGAACTGAACTTCAGGTAAGAAGTTATGACCTGCAGTCTATCTGGGTCAGATATAAACCAAGTTTAGGTGGAGTTTATTTTCATGTTGCTGACTTTTTACTGTCAGTTGCAATAACTCATACTGCGTTCTAGCCAGTTTGACGGAGTTTTTATACAGCTGGGTGGGTGCTATGATGTTACTGATAGTGAACTTTATTTTATTCATAAGGTTAGTAGAGTTGCCAACGGCTCCTTAAAAAAATGGAATGGTCCCTCAATCAGAGAAAATATTACACGTTTCGTATTGAGCTGAGAAGAGACGCAGTTTGTCCCGGACTTCAGCTAGAATGGAAAAAGACACAAAGCTGGAGTTATTCTGTCTTTATGCTGCACAGCTGCCTCTTCTCCTCTCATTCTCTCCCCTGCCTCTCCTGTTGCTACTTCAATCATGAAACTGATCAATGATCAGCTGATCGGCTTTTCTCTCTTGTTTATTTATCGTCCGCTTTGCGCCAGAAAGAGGAAACCAGCGGATGTCACGCTAAACAACGGCAGCACGTTTAAGCTTGATCAGCTGTTGTTAGAATTTATTTAATATTAATTTCTAGTATCAGCTGATGTTTGCTGGAGCCACAGCTGTAAAGCTGCTGGTCATGATGTCTGTTTGGATATGTGGTGAGAGGGAAACATGAAGATGAAACCAGGAGATGTCCTTACTGAACCATCAGAGCTGAACAGGTGATGGAGAAACAGGTTTACCTTTTAGGTGACATGAATGAGTTGAAGTTATGAACTGTTTCTGAGAGACAAATAACCCCAGGATCCTTTTTTATGTAGCTGACAGCTGGTAACTGTGCAGGGCAGGTCTAGCAAAGTTTTGCCAGGGGGCCAGGTAGGGCATTAACAGGGAGACGGGGGCACAAAGAAATACTTTTCTTTCTTATTCTCATTTAAAATATCTCGCTTTTATTAAATAATTATCTAAATCTTACAACCAAAGTTTTTATCTGACGTAAAATGTATAGAAATCATACATATACCAACAAGACTGTACATCACTGTCACCACAGCATTTGTTTTTATTCAAAGGCTTTATGGTTTTAATACCTGGTGGGCCGGTCAGTAGTCAAAATGCCCGATTTTCTGTCCCAGTCCAGCCCTGCAGGTTAATACTGGCAGTGTCACCATGCCAGCTGAATGTATTTCATCATCAGCCAGTGTTGTTCTTTATCAATATTACCAAAGTTTACCATAAGGCAGCATAGAAAGTATTTACTTGCTTTCAGGTTTTATTCAAATGTTAGTCTTTTCAGTTGTTTCTCCACTTTTTTCCTGTTTCAAAGTCAAACACCAGTTTGTGAGAAGATTATCTTCTTTTTTTAACAGGCAGATAAAGTTTTGCATTGGAACTGGCTAATTTGTCAATTGTTTGTTATAAATGTTCATATTTTAATTTTCAAAAATGTTTTTGCCCAAAACATATGTGCACTATATGTCAGTAAAAATACTATGCAAATATTGCTGTCCTTGAATGCTGAGTAAACACTGACAAAGCACTGATTGTATCTCTTGTACTTTATCAACGCAGTATCTAAAAACTTTGCACCGTAGTGGTTGAAATCTCATTCTAATAAGAGTTAAAAGTGCATTTGGTTATTAGGTTTACAGGGTTATTGAATTATGGTTAAGGGTTGGTAGAATGTTTTTTAAACATTATCTGCCAATTAAATCTGCCACCCTTCTCCAAATCTGTGCCCCTACCTGGCCCCCCCAACAAAAATTTTCTAGACATGCCACTGACAAGCAGGATTCACTGCACTGTTAATGTTAGCTATGTTATATTGCTGCCTCTGTTCGGTGGTGTCGAGCCAAACGGACTTTAATGTGTGTTTGAACGAGCTGATGGTTCACTCGTTAAGCTGAAAGAAAGATGCTTTAATCACAGCAGTCACACATGTGTCCACTGCACCATCTGGAACTGTTTTTGTTTA